GGAGGTCTCTTTCCTCATGTATCTGCCCAAAGTCTGTGGTCAACTTTAGTGGTTTCCCCCTTCAGGTTGCCCATCAAAATGACCTGACTATGAGGGGGAGGACCTTTTCCAAGGTGGGCATAGGGATCCATTCCACTGAAAAGGCCCTCTCCCTTGTACCCAACTCACTTTATCTGTGTAATTATAAATAATATGCATAATTGTAATTTGTACTATAATGCCATGACACATGTGATATCACTTGCCCCTCCTCATCCCCTTGAGGGATTTTAATGATGGTGAGCCCTGATTAGTACAATGCCCTCCCCAAAGAGAGGTGGCATCTTAAGCCTTCGGCAGCTTTGCATTCAGTTTAATTATAAGGGCCAAACTTTATTCTGGGCTGGAGAGTTTTATCTTCCCTGGGCTATCAACTACAGTGTATTTCAGGGCGGGGCAGAGGGGAAGTGTTTGTTTACTCTAATATTTTAGTAACTTTGTAATTTATCAGAAACTTTGGCTGCTGAGCAGATTAGACATAGCCAACAAATAAAAAACATTGCAATCCTTTCCCAACCAGTCTCCCCCCACTCAGAACCCCTACCCAGAAGCAAGAAGTCCCTAAGACAAAATGAGAAGTGAGGTTGAGTAATCACATTGCCAGTTGTGAGTAACGATGAAATCACCGGACCCCTCCTCTCTCCATACACAGACAGGGTGTCCCAGGACCCAGCAATGTCCTTAGATCTTTTTCCTTTTTGGCAGCTTGACTCTGCTGACTCAAAAGAATTAGCAGCAGCTGAAGAACTGAAACCCTCAATGGACCATTGATTCATCCATTGATTAAACTGTGCCTTTATCCCAGCCACGTCTCCCATTCCCAGAACCTGGACTTCCGTCTTCTTCGTCCTGTCCCAGTTGACTTGATTTCTAGCAATCTCTACATTCACATGTTTGAGGACATGTGCTTTCCACAAAGCACTGCCCCCAACCTCTCACCCTCACCCACCTCTTCTGTTCCTCTCTGGCATGCATCCATGGGAACATCTGGATGACTGAAGAATACTCGGGTGGCTTCCAGATGTCAGCAAGTGTTCCTATGGCAACTGCTGGAGGATGAAAGGAGGAAGTGGGAAGGGAGGCTGCATGAGGATTCATCTTTGCATTTCCCCCTTTCCTTCCTCATCTGGTGGCTGCCTAGTGGTTGCACAGGCATTTGTGGAGGGGGAGTCACAGCCACAAAGTGGTGTCTTCATGATTTGCCCGAAGAGCTTGGGATCATCTTGGTAGGCATGGTGACGTGAACCCTCAACTTGAACATGTAGAGTGGGGCAGGGAGAAGTTATAATCTCACCACCTCCAACATAAAATATTATCTTTTTCTGAATCAGAACATGGGTCCTTTTAGACTTTGACCAATATTGGCTTTCCCTGGGTTCAGATAAGAAGGAAGCCTTCAGACATGTCTCAAGACGTCAGGGGTTAAATCTGGAGTCTTCTGCCTGACAATGAGGGTTCTGCTGTAGAACTATGGACTTTCTCAAGTGAGAGGTCTTTTTTCCAAGAGTTGGGAAGAAGGAATTTGGACCCAGGGCCACTTACCTGGTTCAGCATCTTACCTTCCAATAAGACTGGTGTCTATGAATCTTATTTCTCTGGTGTTTCTTTCTGTTGTTGTTGTTCAATTGTTAAGTCATGTCCGACTCTTCGTGACCCCATGAACCATATCGTGCCAGGCCTTCCAGTCCTTTACTGCCTCCCTGAGTTTGCTCAGTTTCGTGCC